CTTTATCATCATTTTTTTTATTTCCAATTCTAGGAATTTACCAAGAATGTAGCTTACCATGCTCATATGTTGACACATCATAAGGAATTGCTCCCTGACGTATATGTCTACCGGTGATATCACGTGTTCTGAAGTGCAAGGAACATATTTTACTATTTTTCTTAGGAACCCAATCCTCCCGGTCCACCACCTTGGTCCAGGCGCTATCCAACTCCTTAGGGAAGGAGAAGAATCTAAGTCCGCTATAGGACGAGTTAGATGTACATGAACGTACAGCGCAGTACAGAATCCCCATGCTGGACGCCTTCGATTACGATCGCTATCGCTGGCTGTTTGCACTATTCTCACGATTGGTTTTGTAAAATGTTCAGTCACGTATTTATTTCACAAACTTCCCGACGTCCAAGACGTTCTTTCTGATCATCTATGCCGGGAGAACATTTGTTTTTCCCATTATTCACATTTAAAAAATACGCATCGTAAATTGTGCTGGGCTGAGTAACGTATGGCAGGTAACCTAGCACTGCTAAGCTAGCCCAGTACACACGTAACCTGCAGTACACAGCGTACTGTATGGAAATGATTCATTGATTGATAGCAGTACTTTAAATTCTTACAAGAAATAAAATAACAGGATATCAACGTTATTTAAGAATAGAGCAATCTTAAAAAGTTGTAATTATTGATATTGTTGATATTTTGGTAAACATAAGTTGTCTTAATCCCTATCATTAATGGGTAGCAATTTTCACAAATATTTGTAATCGAAGACGACAGATTTACTGCACCCAAGCAGAATATAACATTACAGAGCATTCTTGTCTTGATTGCGCATACATCAAACACCGAAAATAAACAAATATTTAGGAAATTATTAAATTTCAGAATTCATTCAAGTCACAACCGTCTTTTCAATATTTTAGAAATTGTAAGATGAAAGATAAGGAGTACTGGATAAATAAGTTTGATTTACAGCCACACCCGAAGGAAACTAAAGGATTTTTTAAAGAAACCTTCCGTGATGAATTTACCGTCATCGGATCTTCAGGCGAACAGAGGTCAGTATAATATTTTTAATGGAATATACCATCTTACCTAGCCCTAAAAATATATAAAATAAATAACATTAAATTGTGTTGAAAAATTGGATATTGTGCGAAATATGAAGTATGACAACAAAATTTAGTAATTTCCTTGAGAAGGATTTTTGCCCCCCCCCCCCTCTCATATCAAATTTGTACATGGATCTCATATGTAAGACATATAGATATAATTGGTCATGCGGCCGTAACGCCCGGCCCACTAGACTGTCCTAGCCGCAGCACTCGGTCCAGTAATTGTCCTAACCTAACCATAAGATGATAAAAAATAAATAATGATAATTTTGCTGAAAAAAAAGTGGTCATGTATTAAATGGGAAGGGGGGGGTCTAAAATTTGTTCTTTAGGACAGACCCCAAAATTTAATATTTGATTGATCAGGGCTGCATCTACTCTTATTTACTTTCTTCATGTTCAAGAATCTCTTAACCCTAAAACTACATTCTTCAAGGTGTGGTATTAAGTTAAAAACTTTTTTAAATAAAAATTTATTTTAAAACCAACGGAAATGCTTTTGAAGTTTCTCAAAAATATGTAATTCATTTATAACAGGGGGATCTAGAAGTCGAAATCATGGCTCTTAATTTTTTAATCAATTGTTTTTGTACTGGTCAGATCGAGGCTAAGTTGTTTGATTAAATGATTATCGATTAATCCTAACTCTGTATATCAGGTAAAATCTGTAGAGACAATACACTGGTACTACGGGTCTCCTCTACACCTGTATTATATAAACGAGGAGGAGAGGAGGCTGGTTAAGGTGGAGTTGGGAGTTGATGAATTTCAGTTTGCATTCCCCCGGGGAGTCTGGTTTACTAGACTGTGTGAGGTAGATGATGGATATTCTCTGGTTGGGGCATCTGTAGCACCAGGCTTTGATTTCCAGGTACATACTAGGACTTTATATATACTCAATACAGGGTGGCCAAAATGTACGGATTTTTTATAACCCTAACATTTTTCGGATTGTACGGATTTTCTTCTTTCAAATTGCACGGATTGTACGGATTTTTAGCCTGTAAATTGCACTGATTGTATGGATTTTTAGCCTGGAAATTCACCCTTTTTTGTTCATTTCAGCAAATTTTGCATGAAAACTCGTCAAAATGAAGTTGGAAACTTATTTTCTGCATTCTAAATAATATTTGGTTGATTGTTGCTTCAGTTGACAATCAAAATTTATTCATAATTTTTCGAGAATATTGATTTTGCTAAATAAAGATTTAAAAAAAAAACTTTAACATCATTATCATCCTAATTTACTAGTTTCTCCTCTCATTATCATCCTAATTTACTAGTTTCTCCTCTTATTATCATCCTAATTTACTTGTTTCTCCTCTCATTCTCATCCTAGTTTACTTGTTTCTCCTCTCATTATTATCCTAATTTACTAGTTTCTCCTCTTATTATCATCCTAATTTACTTGTTTCTCCTCTCATTCTCATCCTAATTTACTTGAAATTGAATAAAAAATGACATTGAATAAAAAATTGAATTTTGATGTTTTTTTCAAAAATGTTTTTACTTTTCCTAAATGTGCGGTTTTTTATGGATTTTTTTCAAAAATTGTGCGGATTGTGCAGATTTTTTTTTGTACGGATTGTACCGAATTTCCTCGAAAAATGTACGGATTGTACAGATTTGTTCTGAAAATCTACGGATTTAAAAAATATTAACATTCATACTAGAAAGTCCAGTGTTTAGGATCCATTTCATTTTAATCCAGCTTCTTAATATTTACTGAATTTTTAGACTTACAAAGAATTGTCAATTTATAAAAACGTTTTGTATGGTGAAGCTTGATTTACCATTCAGAAATTAGGAAGTTTTAATTTTTCATAAGTTAACTTGTGTTTTGAGAAGAAAATTTTTTGCCAGGTTCTTGTTGATATTTTGCCCCTTGGATCCAGATCCTAATCATTCATTCCTAGGCGCATTTGGGATTACAATAACTATTTTCATTTTTCTAAGCTCACTTTGCATCCCTACTTTAAGATCGTATTTTTTCGCTCAATTATAAAAAATCTATCTCAACCCAAGTNCCCCCCCCTCCAGAAAAATTCACTAATGTCAAACATTGGAAATATATATTATTTGATTTATTTGTCGAACACATAAAATTGGTTTAGATATTTGATTAGAGATTTTATATAACTATAATTCAATTTATACACAAGTTGTAAACTAGCAACTTTAATCTTCTCTGATGTCGTCTTCTTCACAGTCCCGGAGCTGTAACCGGAGATGCTGCAGACATTCAATATTATCTTCTTCTTGAATGGTGAGTGGCCCACATTCTTCAAAGATGGCTCTAAGCGGGCTGTTTAGTATATCTAGAGAGAATTTGTCAGAGATACATGAAATGTTGCTTCTAAAGTAGTACTGTAGAGAATATGCAGATATCAATCCGACTTGCCAAATCAGTGGATTCCAACTATGCAAAATAGACTGGGCAAACTTTCACAGAGTTGAATTCTTTAGAAAAATTCTTAACAAAAAATGTATGTGTAGGCTGTGGCATGTTCCAGCAAACTTTAACTGTAGTGTTCCAGGATCGGTAGGTTTGACAGGCATACTCACTGTAAAGGTTCCAAATATTGCTTCCATAAAAGGAACAACAATAAGTTTGCACAGCAGATAACTTTTGCAGTGATGAGCAGAAATGGAAAATTCCCAATAATTCAGTAGATGATCCAATGTAGGCAGCTCCCCTGCAATCTATATCTGTGAACCTGATTCATGAATAATATGATCAAGATGGTCAACCTGACTGACCCAGGGCAGCTTCTGATAATTAAGGACGACCTCCAACGGTTTTCTGTCACGTCCACAAGAAATATAAATACATCATAACTTGGATTTGGACGGATCTGGATTTGATGAAAATGAAATATTATGCTCCTCAGCATTTTTTTCACAAAGTTGCAGTAGGTTTTGTAAACCATTTCTGATAGGAGACTATAGCAGAAAATCATCACAGTGGCCACAATAACAAGGAAGAGATCCCCAATATAGCAGCCAAATCCACTTTATCTAAGCTTTACAAGCAACCCATCCATGTACACTGTAAATAGGATTGGGGATAGACAGGATCCCCAATATAGCAGCCAAATCCACTTTATCTAAGCTTTACAAGCAACCCATCCATGTACACTGTAAATAGGATTGGGGATAGACAGGATCCCCAATATAGCAGCCAAATCCACTTTATCTAAGCTTTACAAGCAACCCGTCCATGTACACTGTAAATAGGATTGGGGATACCAAAGGAGTAGGAAGCTGTTTGTTTAGCTGACCATTTAACACTTGCTTTTTGAAGCTCATAAGAAGCTAATAAACCTCGAACAAAGGAAGATGGAACCCCTCTGTCAAGAAATTTACCAAAAAGTTTAGAAAATAAGAACTTATCAAAAGCTTTGCTACAGTCCAGCGCAGCAACATTGACAAATGTATGTTTCTGTTTGAAGAAAGAAATTGTCTGCAGAGCCAGCCAGGTACACTTAGTGTTGGAAGTTTTAGATTTATATCCAAACTGAAGATCATTGGAGTATAGTTTGTCACCAAAAAGTGGCATGATCACAAGTTCAATTACTTTGAAGATCAGGGAGGACATGGCAATAGGACAATAATTTTCACTTTTCAGAGCTTGAATCATCCTTTAAAGGTAATTTCAGCAATTGAACAAAAGCATATGCCAATATTTCTTCAGGAAAGTCTGCATGTGTAAAAAATACTTTAAGCAAGAAGGCTAGCCGGTCAAACAGTACATCAGGAGCATATATCAGTGAATCAGATTTAAATTGTTCAGATACATCATTCTTGCTAGATTTCAAACTTTTTGCAGCAGTTTTCACAATATTTGGAGTGATCACTGACAAATCATTTACAGTAACTGTTCCTTGTAATCTTTGCTTGAGAGAAAGAATATCTTCTTTATCATCAGCTGAGTTGAACAGAACACTGTAGACGACTGCAAATATATTTGGTATGTTTATTCCAGAAGCTGCATCCACATGGTCTGAAGCTGCCTTATGGTCAGCAGATTTGACTTTTTTCCTCTCTTGAAAAAGCTGCTTATTTTCCGAAAGAGCAGCTTCAGAAAGTATACCCGACAAAAGTAGGTGGGAAGGTACCTAAATGCATAACTAGCACAACTAAAGATACTATTATTTTTGTATAATTTATTCCAATTGATAAAAAACATTGCCGAAGATAAAGTATATGTGAACCCCGCTAGATGGTATGCGTGACTGAAGTATATTCTCCAACCCCTTCTTTAAGTACAGTTAAGATATTCTTCCTCGTTTAACTCGGTTCCTGCATCATCTACGCATTATTGAACAGGGTTTATACAAAAGTATGCTGGATCTTATATTATCAGCCAAGATTCTTTCTTATATGAAATGATTTTTTTATTCTAGGATCTGGAGACTACAGAATATGAATCTCTCCAGCATCTTCTATCCTAATAACGTGAACCTGCGATACACTTTTTTGAAAATACAAGATTTTCACTTTTTAAACTTTCTAAATTTTTCAGATTCTACGTCCCTGGCAAAATGTCGGGGACTGAAAAAGTTACCTTGAACGATGCTCTCTCTAATGTTGATGTACTTGACGAACTCCCACTGCCTGATGAACAGCCTTGCATTGAGGTAGAACATGGAGAGGTTGAGATGCAACTCAATTTGGTCATAAAAAAATTTGAATTCTTTGTAGAATAGTTTTTTCCTTCTTATCTTTTTTATTTTTACCTTTCCTTATTTTAAATTTTTCTGTTTTCCCATATCTTCCCATTTTGATCTCTTTCATATCTTTTTTTCACTCTTTCTCATCTTTTTGTCTTTCCTTTTATCTTTTTATCTCATCTTTCTTTTTGTTTCTCTATCCTACTCATCTTTCTTTATGTTTCTCTATCCTACTCATCTTTCTTTATGTTTCTCTATCCTACTCATCTTTTTTTATGTTTTTCTATCCTACTCATCTTTCTTTATGTTTCTCTATCCTACTCATCTTTCTTTAAATTTCTCTATCCTTCTCATCTTTCTTTATGTTTCTCTATCCTACTCATCTTTCTTTGTGTTTCTCTATCCTACTCATCTTTCTTTATATTTCTCTATCCTGCACATCTTTCTTTATGTTTCTCTATCCTACTCATCTTTCCTTATGTTTCTCTATCCTACTCATCTTTCTTTATGTTTCTCTATCCTACTCATCTTTCTCTATGTTTCTCTATCCTATTCATCTTTCTTTATATTTCTCTATCCTACTCATCTTTCTTTATGTTTCTCTATCCTGCTCATCTTTCTTCATGTTTCTCTATCCTTCTCATCTTTCTTTATCTTTCTCTATCCTACTCATCTTTCTTTGTGTTTCTCTATCCTACTGATCTTTACGTTATTTGTTTTTGGTTATTTGGTGATTTAATCTCTAGACGCCAGTTAGGGGCATATTGAGAATATCTGCGTAGAGTCTGTAGATTTACTGAGTAACTATTTATATCAGTAATTTTACTCAAACAATGTCTCCAGCATACGTATTTTTCTTATCTTAATGTGTCGTTTTGCAAAGTTTATGCCATTTGCCTTTTCTTCATGACTTTGCCTTTGTCAATTTTATAAAATCTTTTCCTTCTCATTTTTTAAACTGTTCCTTTCTAGTTTGTTTATTCTACGGTTTTATACTTATTCTAATTTTATCTTTAATCTAGGCCCAGCCTTGCAGTATAGTTTATCAGAGTAATTTCGATACAAACTTCGAGGATAGGAATGCTTTCGTCACTGGAGTTGCCAAGGTAGACACTATTTTCCAAACACATTTGTTTCAAAACAACACATTTTCCTTTTTTATAAAATTGTTCTGTAAAATGGGGGGGGGGGTGTTCATAATTATATGAATGACGGTAAGTGGAATATGTAGCTTTAAATTAAGTATTATTATTTACTTTATTCTTTTTTAGTATATTGAGGAAGCGACGGTTCATTCCAACTTGAACGAGATGTTAGAGGTAAAGATACTTACCACTAATCATTGAGCGTAGATTTTCTATCTATCTATCTATCTATCTTTCTATCTATCTATCAATCTATCAATCTATCTAATATACAGGAAGGACAGCTGCATGCTGTTATGCTATACACCTGGAGATGTTGTAGCAGAGCAATTCCTCAACCTAAATCTAACGAACAACCTAACAGGAAATAATTCAGATATGGAGCTTCAATTCAGTATTTTTGCATTATTCTGTTACTTAAATCATTACCCAGGAAACCTACGCAATGTTGATGATGGTCCAGGGATTGTTGTCCAAACTTATTCTTAAGATATTTATTAAATTGTTGAATTAGTATTTTCCTAATTCAACTCACTAACTTTAACATTTTAAAATAGTTTATTTATCTTTTATTATCTCCTATCTGGGGGGTGCATAGCGGGGTCCTTTACAGATTCCTTTCTTAATACTTAATCTGATTGTGTTCTGTGAGCAGGGTGGAGATTTATGAAAAGACAGTTGAGGTTCTAGCTCCAGAAGTCAACAAACTACTCAACCTCATGTACTTTCAGGTACTATCAGAATTAGCTTTCTTCATATTATCCGTTTACTGAGACCAAGAATGCTACGATTTCACAAACATATTGCCATTTTGATCCAGTGATCATAATTAGTTGTTTTTTGTCCAATTTTAGTACTTATTAGTAATTCATTAACTGTCCTATTTTTTTGTAGAGGAAAGCTGTTGAAAGTTTCTGTAATGAAGTAAAGAGACTTTCTCATGAAGAGAAACGGAAGGATTTTGTTTCTGAAGCTTATCTTCTAACTTTAGGTAAACAATACGTTACAAGACAATAAAAATATGATGATGGTCATGGACCCCTTTACTGCGTCAAGTAGTTGGTTCCAGCTTTTAACAACTCCTACAGTAAAAAGTGTTTTCTTATGCCCAGGTTTGCTCTCTTCATCTCCAGGTTGAACCTGAAATTAGCCTGGTAAACCAGGTTTTTTCACAAGCATCATCATGGTGGTGCAATATTTTCCGGGTTTGTATCTTATCACCTCTTATTCTTCACTACTCCAGGGAGGTTAAGCCAAGTTCTCTCAGCTTATCTTGGTAGGTTCCAGGTAGGTTTCAGTCCTGCAGTCATTCTCACAAAGTTCTTTTCTGGACATCCTAAAGGACGACAATATCCTTTTTCTTCCAGGGTGACCAAGCTTAAACAGTATATTCTAGATTAGGCCTCACATAAGCTTTATACAGCCTTATCCAATTATATTTGTCCTGGTATGTAAAAGATCTAGACATTTGTCCTAATAGTTGGTTTGCTTCCATTGCTGCAGCTTGCCACTGACTTATAGGTTTCAATGTATTAGAAAATTTTACTCCTACATCCTTCTCTTCATCTACAGATTCCACCACTGTACCATCTTTTTATGTCATTTTATTCTGGGAACCAGTGTAGTTATAAATACAGGAGGAATAAAGAATTACTAACATTTTTTTATGGTACATAGAAAAAATTACTTTTTTTCTTCAGATTTCTTGTGATAAATCTGAGTTTAATAATATTTCAAACTTTTATTAAACTTTATTTATTAAGATTAGAAAACAAAAAATTCTTGAAAATATATTAGTGATTTTCAATTGATTTCTGAAGAAAGTATATATTTTTTGAAGAAAAGTTAATGTTCACCAAAAAATTAATTTTGCACTTTTTCAAGTACAACTCAAAAACTGAATAACTCTAATCCCTGTCTAGGAAAGTTTATCAACATGTTTGCTGTGCTGGACGAACTGAAGAACATGAAGAGCTCGGTTAAGAACGATTATGCAACGTACAGAAGAGCTGCACAGTTCCTTAAAGTTATCGGAGACTCACAGGTGACACCCCCCCCCCCATAAAAGTTATAAAAGCTTCCAGTAATAAACGAACTGTAGACGTCAATTTAAGCGGCATTTCCGATTCACAACGTTACTGTTTGAATTTTTATTTAACATCAATTTAAAATACATCGTCTTTTCTCCATCTTAAAAGTGGTGAATTCTGTGAATCACTTTCATAGTGAAACCACAATTATAAATGATCAATTGTGATATTTTCACCAATTTTGCTCAGACAATGGTTTCAAGGGTACCGTTGTGAATCGGGCATGGTCCTTTAAATGGAGGGTTGCTCGTCAATCAAGGTTGATTGTCCCTTTTAGTCCAATCAAATTTTGATAACTTTATGTTGATAATACTTTTTCAGGCGTTGACAGAGAGTCAGAATCTGTCAATGTTTCTGGCGAAGCAGGGTAGTATCAGAGAAGAACTCAAGAAGGCTATGGAAAAAATAAAGGAATGCCTTCATAAAATTGGAAATCTTGCAAAGTTTTTGATAAACTTAGTTTTAAATATAAAAACTCTCTTTAACATATTGCAATTTACAATACATTAAGTTTAGGGGTCCAAGTAAAAATATTTTTAATCTTTAAAAACAAGAACTTTTGAGAGTTATCTAAATATTTAAACTTTATCATCATTTTTTTTATTTCCAATTTTCATTGATTCTTAAAAAATCTCCAGAATAATTTGTTATTTTTGACTTAACTTAATATCTTAACTTAATCAATCCTTAAGTAATGATTATTTTCTTCATTTGTTTAAGTTGTTAATTATGACGGGATTTGTGTAGAACTACGAGGACCTGCTCTGCGATATTGTAAACATATGTCTTCTTATGTACGAGCAGAGAACGTACCTCACCCCAGCAGAGAAGCATATGCTCGTCAAGGTTGGTTGGTTGGTTGATTGGTTGGTTGGTTGGTTGGTTGGTTGGTTGGTAGTTTAGTTGATTAGTTGGTTGGTTGGTTGATTCGTTNTCCAGAAGTTAAACTTGATTGGACAGGAACTACCAGAGAAGGAGTTCAGTCATGCCAGGTTGGTTGGTTGGTTGGTTGGTTGGTTGGTTGGTGGATTGGTGGATTGGTGGAATGGTTGGTTGGTGGATTGGTCGATTGGTCAATTGGTTTACCAGTTTATTTGGTGGTTAGTTGGTGGTTGGTTGGTGGGCAGGTGGGTTAGATGATTGGGTGAATGGTTGATTGATAGATTGATGGATAATTGTTTGCTCTATGATAGATTGATTGTTTGATGATTGATTGGTTGGTAGATTATTGATTGATTGTCACTATTTCAGGTAATGGGATTTGGCTTGTTCCTTCTTGACTCTGAGAATACAAGCATCAGCATAAACAAACTAGATCAGAAGAAGAGATTGAGACTAGAGAAACTAGACAGGGTATGTAATGTTTATTGTAACATTTTATTTAATATTTCCTCTTCAACTAGATTTCATAAGAATGTTTTTGGTTTTCACTGTTATTAGATATTTTAGATGTTCCTTCTTCAACTGCCTTGGAATTATTTTTTGTTTAACAATCTAAAAATGGATCAATTACTTTCTTGAAACTTTTTTGTGCCCCTGTCGACAAAATTTCTCAGGATTAACAACCTCAGGATTAACAACCTTTACTAACCTCTTCTGTGTTGGACCAAAAATCAAGTAAACTTGACCAAAATGGAAAGTTGACTTTTAATGTTTAACCCAGAGACTTCAACGAGTTAATAGTAATAAAATCATCTCTGGTTTAAACATGATTAAAACCTATTTTAGGTGTTACTAACTCTTATTTAGGTATTCTTTGAGCTCCAAGTTGTCCCTCTGTTCGGGGATATGCAGATTGCTCCATTTAACTACATCAAGAACTCTAAAACATTTGATCCTTCAAAATGGCCGCTATCAAGCTCCAATGCAATATCTCCTCAGGTAAATGCTTTGAAGTATTTATTGCTGGGGGTATCCTAGTCCCCAGTCAATTATCATCCATAAGTAATTCCACTATTAGGATGAAATAATTTTCCAATTTGTGAACATCCCCATCCCCCCCTCACGATTTAAAAAATTTTAATGGAGAACATTTGTGCTCATATCAGAAAAACATTTTTTGCTTATTTGAATTATAAAACCTTTTTTTAAGGAAAAATAATGAATTTTTAATTAAATTTTAATAATTCAACTCAGAGGGTAAAACACTAGAAATTTATTAAAAGAAGTTTTTCTTTCCTGCCCCCTACTTTACTTCACATTTTTTTATTTTTGAATTTTAAATTTTTTTACAATATTCTTTAAATAGTTATATGATATAAGATGTAAATATTTTGACTTTTCTATATTTCTTGTTCTTCATTTTCTTCTTGTTCATACAACTTTCAATCATATTTTGGCTAATTTTGAAAAAAAGAAAGATTTTTTTAGACATCCTTACAGTTTTGCCATGCTGAAAACTTTAGAACCAAGTTAAGGTGCCTCCTTTCCTATTTCTACAGTGTCAGCAACTAAATTCAACTTGTTGATTCAGCTCCAAGCAAACACATATTTCTAATGTATTTTCTGTCAGGCTGAAATAAATGGAGGGGGGGGGGGATGTCCCCTAGCCCATCTCTAATGTTTGTTTCCATTCGCTAACGGAATATATAGATAGTGTAGTGCTTATCATTAGAGATTTCCCATCCAATTTTTCCTGCTCAATTTTCTTTCTTCTTGTTTCTTGTTTCTACGTTTTGAGGCCTCTCCAAATAGTTCTTGTGACATCGAGCTGTTGAGCATGTAGGAGAGAGATAAGGAGGTTTGGAGGAGGATGAGGAGGATGGGGGTGTAAGGGTAACTGCTATGAGATATACCATAGTCCTTTCTGTTAACGTGTATTCACACGTTGACAGATTTGTTAAGAAAATTAACCCGCTAAGCATGCTGTCCCATCGCTTTAAAACACAGGGAGTGTGTCTTTCGTCTATAATTGTCAGAGGTCTGCCATGAGTAATCCAGTTTCCATTGTGAGGAGGGTAAAAAACCAGTCTGTGGTATTTTATTAAAAGTCTATTGAAGGCTCTGTTCCCCCTTAAACAAGTATCACCGTGTACTTCATCCCTGATTTTTTGAGTTTCTGTCTTGCTTCTTTCATCTTTAGTCCTATATCTTGTCTGGGATTCGCTTTTCACTCAGTTTTGGAGATAAGTGGCCTTGATATCTAGACTACTACATTTAGCACAATTTACATAGCGCCCTTTCTCTCAACAGGCTTAGAAAGCTCTGCTGACATCCTGCCTCTGGGAGGTTCGGATACACACTGCTGCCCCCTACTTTAAAAATGGCTAGGTTAAAAACAATCTTTCCATTTTTTATATAAAACTATTTTGCAGGCCAACTTGATGATACATCTGAGTAAGATGAGAGAAGATCATATCAAGTATACATCGGAGCTAGCCAGGTTAAATTCTCCAGATTTTATTTCCAGACATACTTAAGTTTTCATTATGATAAATAGAAGATTGAATTGAAGAAATGCGCTGAATCCCAGTGACTTAAAATCTAGATTAAAATCTCTTTAAAAGTTCTGAACCATTCGTCCTTCGCAAATATTATATTGCGTCCATTGATTTTTTATGTTCTGTTTTTGTTTACAGATACTCTAATGAGGTAACAACGACCTACAAGGAAACTCCGAGAACAGATCAAGAGAATAAGAGTTTACTCCGTTTAGCACTCAGAGGTATTTTGAATTTATCCGATATACATCGTCATAAATATTTGCTGGATATATTTTTTAGATAGAGCCCGTAGAAAAAAAACTTGAATTTAGATTTGGTCTCATATCTCCAAGGAAAAAAAGATTTATTGGGAATCTTAAATGGATCTTTATTAATTATTATCTAGGTCTACAGCTGTTCTCTGAGAAGTCCTGTAAAGAAACAGAGCTGTATATCTAGAAGCTGCACTATCTATTATCTAGGTCTACAGCTGCTCTCTGCGTGGACCTGTATAGTAACGGAGCTGTATATCTGGAAGCTGTATTAACTATTATCTAGGTCTTTAGCTGCTCTCTGAGTGGTCTGTAAAGAAACAGAGCAGTTTATCGGAAAGCTGTATTAACTATTATCTAGGTCTACAGCTGCTCTCTGAGTGGACCTGTATAGTAACGGAGCTGTATAGCTGGAAGCTGCTACATCCAACGGATCACCATCAGAACAAAGATTGTCCGCAGGATGCAGAAGAATATGAACGAGCCACAAGGTTAGACCATTTTCCCGTTTTTCATTTAGTTCTTACTTTAAAAAACTTATTTGCTGGGTCTAAATTATAATTTAGCAAACAGCAAAAACCGTTTTAGTGTGTCTATTATTTTATCAGTTTATTAGCGCTGTATATTTTTTTTATTTAATTATTTAAATTTAAATTGCATTTTTTACTTTATTGGTTCCTTCTATGGTAAGTAAAGGTATGTGTTTAGGTACAATTACTCAAGTGACGAGAAGTTTGCTCTGATTGAGATAATCGGAATGATCAAAGGGCTCCAGGTTCTCATGGCAAGGATGGAAACCGTCTTCACAGATTCTATCAGGAACAGATTCTAATCTCTAGAGCAGTTTTTAACTGAATTAGGTTCTCACGCGCAAATTATCCGTTCCAAAATGTGAAAAACCCATCTCAAACACAAACAGTACGTCAAAGACCCTACCAGCCAACCCCACCTAATCGTCCTAAACTAACATATTTTATCATCCAAACCAGTTATTGGATGAAGTTATTAAAATTCAACCCGCCAAAATTCATTTCTCTTTTAAAAATTGCGTCTTTTCATCTTAGAACTGCTACTGTCCAGGAGAAGTATCTACGCTGAGCTCCAGGATTTTGTCCAACTGGAGCTAAGAGACCCCCTCAGGAAAGCAGTCAGAAACAAGAAGGATCTTATCAGGTGTGACTTAAAATACATAGTGTTTAACATGATTATAAAAGTTATATATTTCGACCGTTAAACTTTTTAAATTTAGCAATTACATTTAGGAATAAAAAGTCTTAGACCTTTATGAGTTTTGACCTAAAGTTAAAATTCAGATCCATAGGTTACCAACAATATTAAAAAATATTAGTAAAGGAATTGAGTCTTTGTCAAAGATTTACGACATTGGATTCCAAAGATATAGGGATTATAAAATCAGAGTTTGTGGCAAAGACTCAATTCCTTTATTACAAAATACATATTTTCTTACATAAGATAGTAAAAGAAATATACGTTTAACCAGTAACCTCTTCCGTTCTATGTAATTATTTTAAAGATAAATAGCAATTAAAAGACTTAACTTCTAATTTGCTTCCTCTCCGAATAATGAACGGTCCCATTAACTCCACCTAATTTAGGAGTATAATAATGTCTGTCCGTGAGACTTGTGCTGAGTGGCAGCGAGGAATAGAACCTCATGATGATCCAGCGCTTAAAGGGAAGAAAGATCCTGATACAGGATTTGAAATCAAGGTTCCCAGACGGTAGGGTTGACAAAAATTATAATATTCAAAATTGTAGTAATAATGATGATAATGATGATACTTATGATAATGAGAATCATGATGATATTATGATGTTTATAATAATTATGATAATGATTATAATTCAATAATGAATAATGGTAATGTTAATGATAATAATATCGATGGTAATAATGATAATAGAAATGATGATAATGACGATCTAATGACAATAATGATGATAATGATGATAATGATGATAATGATGATTATGATGATAATGATGTTAATTATGATAATGATGATAATGAAGATAATGATGATAATGATGATAATGATGATAATGATGACAATGATAATAATGATAATATTTATCAGAAATGTTGGACCCTCCTCTACTCAGCTGTATATGGTCCGAACTATGCTTGAATCCTTAATTGCGGACAAGGCTGGAGCTAAGCGCACTCTCAGAAAGGTAAAAAATGTACTTTTCAACGATCAGTGAGCTGTTGGACGATCCCTAGCGATTTGATTTGATTTGATTTCATTTCATTTGTTTTGATTAAAAATTCTAATACTATTGGTTTCAAATACCAATCAGAAGGAAATATATGATGATCTCGTTTTAAAATATAAATTAATTCTTTAAATTGTTTACTTTTGTCAGGATATTGACAGCAGTATGCTAATGAAGATTGATGAGTTCCATAAAACCTCTTTTTTCTGGAATTATCTTCTCAACTTCAGTAAAACATTGCAGGACTGTTGTGACTTATCCCAGGTAATAAGTTTATGGCTTTAATTTTGAACAGTGCACACTAAACAAATTAACATTGAAAACAACAATAAACATTAAAAACGATGATTCTGAACACTGAACACTGAACACTGAACACTGAACATTAAACACTAACCACTGAAAATTGAACACTGAACATTGAATACTGAACGCGTACACTGAACACTGAAGACTGAACACTAAACACTGAACACTGAACACTGAACACTGAACACTGAACACTGAACACTGAACACTGAACACTGAACACAAACATTAAGCACTGAAAATTAAACACTGAACATTGAATACTGAACGCGTACACTGAACACTGAACACTAAACACTGAACATGAACACTTAAACACTAAACACTAAACACTAAACAATAAACACTAAACACTAAACACTGAACACTGAACACTGAACACTGAACACTGAACACTGAACACTGAACACTGAACACTAAACACTAAACACTAAACACTAAACACTAAACACTAAACACTAAACACTAAACACTAAACACTAAACACTAAACACTAAACACCGAAACTATTCATAATTTAAAAATGTTTGTCTATTGTATAGTTGTGGTATCGTGAGTTCTACCTTGAGATGACTATGGGTAAGAGAATACAGTTCCCTATAGAGATGTCAATGCCCTGGATTCTCACGGATCATATTCTTACAACAAAGGTTAGTTGTCTTCAGAAGTTTATGATTTTAAGAACTCCTGTAACGGGTTGTACGCCGGAACTGGCACTGGAGAGGGAGAATGGGGGGGGGTTCTTCTTGAATGTCCTTTTTCGGATATCCACCCCTATAATGTTTTTTACGTAATTACAGTTACACAGCTTTAAACCCCTTTACAATTTAGAATTTAAACAGTCACAAAAATGATTTAACTTTTGACGACCTTTTCACTCTTGAAAGTTGTCACATCTTGAAGTGTTAATCCCGTTAATTCTAGGATAGTTCCTACATGGAGTCCGTCCTCTACCCCTTGGATCTGTACAACGACTCCGCGTTCTACGCCCTGACTGTGTTCCGTAAACAGTTCCTGTACGACGAGGTGGAGGCCGAGGTTAACCTCTGCTTTGATCAGTTTGTTTATAAACTCAGTGATCAGGTGATGTACATTTTTTATAGTACATATTACATCACAATATACATAGTACTCGTATTGTACATTGAAGAAATATAAAAGAATTTTTTAATTATCAAATCTGATTTTATTTTTTAATTTCTCAGGTTTACAGCTACTACAAACATCTTGCTGGGATTATACTACTGGACAAGCGGTTTAAACAGGTACTTATAGGATCCGGATCCTTAACATTATGGGTTTTTAGATCCGGATCCTTAACATTATGGGTTTTTAGATCCGGATCTTGATTTGCATCAACATAGGATGAATCCCAAGCTTTACCTTCCTGGCTTGCTTACCACCTTCCTACCGCCTCTTTAATGTTCAGAACACAGTATTATTGCTCATGATAATTTGCTTTCTATTTCTACAGACAAACTTGCACTTCTTAGATAGACATTTCAAACTAAATTGACAATTCATTTTTGTGATTATCAAAATTGAAGGAAAAAATTCTAGCTGCATTATTCATGTTCAGGAATTTCTGACGTTTGAAATAAAATTTTTATTATTTGGGGGTTATTTTTAACATGATCTTGATTACCACTGAATGATGGTGGACCATGGATATTATGATTATTGTCTATGTTCAGGAATGCCAGACGCTTGGAACTTATATAACCTCTCCTCCGCCAAACAGATATGAGACTCTTCTCAAGCAAAGACATGTTCAGCTTCTAGGTAATAAGATTTACAATTTGCACAAGGGATATATTTTGAAGAACTTTTTAAATTAAAATTTATAAATCAGCTGGCAAGTTTCTCTCCCCTTTTTTGATACTTATTATCACCAAATTAATTTATTTTCCGCAATTCGGCAATGAAGAGATTTTACAAATAGCTTATTTATATTTTGAAATAACTCTCCAGGTCGATCTGTTGATCTAAATCGTCTCATCTGTCAGAGGATTAACAACAGTCTCCAGAAATCCTTAGATCTGGCAATATCCAGGTAAATCATGGAAATATCCAGGTAAATTATGACAATATTCAGGTAAATTATTAAAATATCCAGGTAAATTATGGTAATATCCAGGTCAATTATGACAATATTCAGGTAAATTATTAAAATATCCTGGTAAATTATGGAAATATCCAGGTAAATCATGGAAATATCCAGGTAAATTATGACAATATTCAGGTAAATTATTAAATATCCTGATAAATCATGACAATATTCAGGTAAATTATTAAATATCCTGGTAAATTATGGAAATATCCAGGTAAATTATGGAAATTCAGGAATTCATTATGATGTAAGCCTTTTATTTCAACCTTCAATTTAAACTTTATTTAGAAGTCGAAAGATTGAAAATGCAGATTTTTAATGTAAGCTTGATTGATCTAATCTCTAGGTTTGAAGCTGGAGATATAACTGGTATAGTTGAGCTGGATGCACTGATCAGGGTTAACAGACTCACGCATAAGCTTCTCTCCACCCATCTTGCTCTAGGTACAAAATTAAGATTTTCCAACTTTCATTAGAACAACTATTTAATTAGAATCAGGATTTGGGTTCTTCTTTAAAAAATTATAATCTGAGTAAATTCTCTAATATTTCCTAGATGATTTTGACGATATGTTCCGTGAGTCCAACCATAACGTGTTGGCTCCCTATGGTCGTGTTACTCTACACGTGTTCTGGGAACTGAACTACGATTTCCTGCCCCACTACTGCTACAATGCAGCTACTAACAGGTAAAACTAGGATTTCCTGCCCTACTACTGCTACAATGCAGCTACTAACAGGTTAAACTAGGATTTCCTGCCTTACTACTGCTACAATGCAGCTACTAACAGGTTAAACTAGGATATCCTGTCCCACTACTGCTACAATGCAGCTACTAACAGATTAAACTAGGATGTCCTGCTCCACTACTGCTACAATGCAGCTACTTATTGGTTAAACTAGGATATCCTGCCCCACTACTGCTACAATTAAGCTACTTATTGGTTAAACTAGGATATTCTGTCCCACTACGGCTACAATGCAGCTACTGATTGGTTAAACTAGGATATCCTACCCCACTGGTGCTACAATGCAGCTACTTATTGGTTAAACTAGCATATCCCACCCCACTACGGCTACAATGCAGCTACTAATAGGATAACCTAGGATATCCTGCCCCACTACTGCTACAATGCAGCTACTTATTGGTTAAACTAGGATATCCTGCCCCACTACTGCTACAATGCAGCTACTTATTGGTTAAACTAGGATATCCTGCCCCACTACTGCTACAATGCAGCTACTAACAGGTTAAACTAGGATATCCTGCCCCACTACTGCTACAATAAAACCCCAAACATGTTTTGAAAACTTGTAATCGTATTATAAGTATGCTTATTGTGACGTTGCGATTTTAAGCGATTCTCCAGTTAAAGAAGGGCATGTTTGATTTACAACGGTACCTTTGAAACCTTTATATAATCAATAATGTGAAAGATATGGTCGTTTTTCTGTAGCAGAAATACATAATTAATTTCAGCAGAGAAATCCAAAAAGAGTAAATGGATATTCAATTAATGCTTGATAATTTCATCTACAGTTCTTCAGCTGTATTCCAAGAGCTCATGGAGTCATGAGGCGTGGCAAAATAGATGGGTTGCTAAGTGACAACATCAAAAATATCCTCCTATTTAATTACTATTTTTATTTGCTTTTGTGGCCAAATATATTATTGATTTAATACTGACAGGTAGGTACCATAAAGTACCCAGGAAAATCATCTCTAAATATTCATTTTAAAATGAATAAAATATTTAGGTTTGTCAAGTGTCGAGATATTCAGTTTTCTCAACCTGTACAAAGAGAAAGAGCTCCACAGGAAATTATCTAGTTATCAATTATTTTTAACCTTTTTATATCATCTAAATCTTTCTTTCTTACTTTCCATAAAGGATTTTTTAAGAACGCGCGACCCAGATGTCATTAAAATTATTTTTAGAAATTAAAACTCAAAATGATTAAATAATTGTACAGTTGGGCCATCACTACCTATGGGGTAGCAAAGCTCTGAACATTGCTAATTCTACCATCTACGGACAGTATGCAAACTTTGTAGGTAGCTATTATTATTATTAAAGTACAACCTGTCAGTCAATGAAATTGGGGCCGAAGCTCCACGTTATCCCAGGAGAAGACTTATGACTGGGTGGTCTGCGCGGAACAGCTCCATTGCTGGGACTCTTTGATTTGTTATTAACAATAAACATAAAGTTTTCAATTTAGTTTTTTATTGCTTTTTTAAAAAAAAATATAGTTTATGAACGGATAGATTTAAAAAAATCTTTTATCAACTATTTGTGTAGGTCCCCCACACTTTAACTGTATGGCTAAACTGCTAGGATATCAGGGTATAGCAGTGGTCATGGAGGAACTTCTTAAAGTTGTTAAATCCTTAATACAGGTATTTTTTTTTCAGTATTTCAGCCTTTTAATATGATAATTAGGGTTTATTTTCTCCATTTTACCAGAATATTAATATTTAGAGTAATATTCTCCAGTTTACCAGAATATTGATATCTAGAGTAATACTCTCCAGTTTACCAGAATATTGATATCTGTAGTAATATTGTCCAGTTCTCCAGTTTATCAGAATATTAATATTTAGGGTAATATTCTCCAGTTTACCAGAATATCAATATTTAGAGTAATATTCTCCAGTTTACCAGAATATTGATATCTAGAGTAATATTCTCCAGTTTACCAGTTTATCAGAATATTAATATTTAGGGTAATATTCTCCAGTTTACCAGAATATTAATATTTAGGGTAATATTCTCCAGTTTACCAGAACTCTGATGGAAGCTATGCCTAAGGACTGTAAATTACCGAGGTAAACTAGAAGTATACTCCCCTTCTTATTCAAGCATACTTTCATTTTTACTTGTTAGTATTTGGCGAAAGAGTACCATAGATAAGTAGAATTAGAGGGGGGGGGGACAAACCACAAAGTTCCTTTTAGCGAATTAATTTCCACTTGCCAGGGTTTATAGTTTTGTGAAAACAAAAGGAAAAACGGGATTCTAACTTTCAAAAACTACACATACATCTATAATATAATATTTCTAATAAACTAGGCTTTAGGGCGCTGTGCGCCCATCTTCTATTTCATTTGTAAGCATTTTCTCTTTAAAAACATAATAAAACAAAACAAAATATCGCGGATTTTATAAATAAAAAACTCGTTGACATTTAAAATTTAAAAAAATCAAATTTTGTCAGAGGCAAATTTTAAAAGTTCGATCAAAAGTAAACCTTACCTGGGGTTATATAAGGTCCCACAACAAATGTGGGCCCGATCGGTTCAGCCGTTTTGAGTGACGTTTATTGGATAAAAACAAACAAACAAGCAAAGAATATATATATATAGATGAGAAGGGGGGGGGGGGTAATTTCTAAGATAGGTTTTATTCCTGTCCCTTGATTTTAACGCCCAGACATTAATACGAAATTATTAAATAAATTCTCAGGTATGATTATGGAAGCCCGGGAATACTTGAATACTATCAGCAGAAGCTGATTGACATTGTTCAGTACCCAGATGCTAGAACAGAACTCTTCCATAACTTCAGGTAAAACATAGTCCACAGTACATAAAATGCGTCCGATAATCTTTCCTGTCCGTCCTTGTTTCTTAAATCGGTATTAAAGGGGATTTTCCTCATTTAGTTATTTGACAGTATCAACGTTCATAATAGTGTATCAATCACAGACTAACCAGACTGCTCATACTGGATAGGCTGAGCAGGCCTATAGTGTACTGGCACGCTATGCTACAGTTCCATGTAAGGTTCTTTGACTGCTATCTAACGGCCACTTGTTGCATATAATACCCAATCAGGGATTAAGTTTTACAACTTATAAAAAACTACAACTTTTAACAGGAATAATAAGATTTATGAATTTAGTCTATTTTTGAGGATTTTGTGATCGTATCCAATTGTACACAATAGAACATGCTGTGGAAAATATCGTATTGATATCTGTTTCTCTCTTATCTTTGGTATCAATAATTAAGTACTTATTTGTAGGGAGTTTGGAAATGCAGTTCTTTTCTGTCTTCTTATCGAACAAGCATTGTCACAAGAGGAGGTCTGTGATCTTCTTCAAGCTGCTCCTTTCCAGAACATTCTCCCAAGGTAAACTGCTCCTTTCCAGAACATTCTCCCAAGGTAAGCTGCTCCTTTCCAGAACATTCTCATTCCTGAGCATCTGAGTAGATTTATTTAGCACTTCAGAAAGCTAAACAGAACTATGCAGAGGGATGCATATGATTTGGGATGATTTGGGAGTACAATAGGCCGAAAAGGGAATATATATACTTTAAAGAAAATACTTTAGCAAGTTATGGGCCAGGGGAGCCAGGGGTGCGGGGGGGAGGATTCATTTTTTTAATTTATCTTGCCAACCCTGGATCAAATCCTGAATACGGGCCTGGTGTCATTCAAGAATATTACTCAAAAGTTTTCAAACCCCAATTAGAAACTTTATGTACAGAAAAGACCAATATATATTCATCTGATTGAAATTATTTTGTCTAGGCCATTCTGCAAAGAAGGCGAGAAAGCGGAAACTAAGCAAAAGCGCCTCGAGGCAAAATATGCCGCGCTCCAGATTGTTCCAAACATTGAGAAGTTAGGAACTGCTAAACAGGCTCAAATTGCACGGGAAGGGGATCTACTAACTAGAGAACGCCTTTGCTGTGGTCTCTCCATTTTCGAGGTAAGATAACAACAAAATCGATGTTTTTTATTTTATATATTTGATTATTTCTTATTTATATTTCTAGGTTATTCTGAATAGAATAAAGGGGTTCCTTGAAGATGCAATCTGGCACGGGAAACCACCGGCTAACGGTGTTATCAATATAGATGAATGCACTGAGTTTCACAGGTATATTGTTATTGTTATGGTTATGGTTATGGTTATGGTTATGGATATGGTTACTTAAGAATGAAAAACTGGTCAATTACAAAATCTTAGGTCTTTAAGTAGTAGTGGACGGATAATATCAAATTACTATTTCTATTAATTAGTTCATCAAAGAGACTGTAGTTGTAATTTTATGTGACCCCCCATTAAAAAGATTGAAATGTCTGATTCACAACGGTACCCTTAAAACCTATATCTGATTAGTTAAGTTGAAGATAACGTCGTTTTCCTAGCTTGAAAAGTGTTAAATTCTGTAAATTTCTCCAATATTTCTGAAGCAAGAAATGCGAAAGTAACGTAAGTAGAGAAACCACCAATGAAAATAATCTATTTTCAAAGCAAAACATGGGTATCTAATTCATGCTTGATTAGACAAAGTATTTAAGGGTACCAATGTAGATATGATATGCCACTCAATGGAATGTGACTTAAAATTGAGTTTACAGTTTATTATTATTTTATTATAATGATGAATTGTAGGCTGTGGTCTGCTCTGCAGTTTGTGTACTGTATCCCTGTAGGGGAGAATGAGTTTACTGTGGAACATCTCTTTGGCGAGGTTAATAAACTTTCTAATTAATTTAATTAAATCTAGTGATGTGCCTCAAGGTTAGTTTTTGCGTCGTTTTTGTTAATATTTTTTTCCATGGTCAAAATTTAGTATAGTGTAAGAACAGAAAATTTATTAACAATTTTTAATTCTAAATATTTAATTTTCTTGCACTATGTCAAGTTTTGGTCCCGGCAGAAGTTATATGAAAAAACAATCGATAAACGATACAAAACGATGCAAACGAGGCAAAACGTTTTCGAATCGTTTTCGCATTTTTTTTAGTTGAAAGATATTGATAAGTTCAATAAAACTTAAAGCCGATTCAAAACGATTAAAAACTATTTATACCTAATATGAAGCTAGATGAAAGTCGTCTTTTTTAAATGTTTTAATCGTAAAATTTAGATAAATATTTTGTAATTTGTCATAGTTATGCCAGATATATTAATTTAAATGTACAGAATCCATTAGATCATTAAAGTTATAAATAAAAAAATATAAAGCATTAAAGCTAAAGCGCCTTAATTTTCATTGTTGACTAGTAATCATGATTTACGTACAGTTTCAAATATTTTAAATACTAATTGCTATATTCTTTATTTTTACTAAATAAACTTGAGTTATCTAGTGTCGACCCCTATTTCATTTAATGGTGGGTTGTCTGCTAAAAATATTAATGATATTTGTTGAAAATTTTTCATTAAGTAAATAAATTTAGATTGAAAAATTGTAATACTGTTCAGGGATTGAATTGGGCAGGATGTGTAATGATCGTTCTTCTTGGTCAACAAAGGAGATTTGAATGCCTGGATTTCTGCTACCATATATTTAGGTAGTACACTGGATAGTATAGGATCGGATAGGATAGGATAGGATAGGATAGGATAGGATAGGATAGGATAGGATAGGATAGGATAGGATAGGATAGGAAAGGATAGGATACAGGACAGGACAGGACAGGACAGGATGCGAGAGACTAATGACATGAATAATGATAATTATTTAAAGATGAATAAGCATAGAATCCCTCCGGCCTAATACACCAGACATGATAACACTACAGGCTGGACAGGACAAGGATACAAGACAGGACAAAAAAAAGATATATCAGGAACCAGGACAGGACAAAATAGGATAAGTGAGAAAAAAAAGATTGGAAAAATTAGATTAGGTAACAGGACAGATAGCAAGACGGGGAATCAGAGAAGAAAACAAGACAAGACATGGGACAGGACGGCGCTGGGTAGGAGTGACCGGACCAAAGCACTACAAGTCTTAAAATAAATGTTTTTTAGGGTACAAAAAGTTGATAGAAGAGATGAGAATATAAAAGGAATTCAGTTGAAGAGAATGGTTGACAGGATTCGAAGGTTCCAGGTAAGTCAATTTAAGTCCATGATCCTTTAACAATGTTGAGTGCTGACTCCATGATCCTTTAACAATGTTGAGTGCTGACTCCATGATCCTTTAACAATGTTGAGTGCTGACTCCATGATCCTTTAACAATGTTAAGTGCTGACTCCATGATCAATTCCTGATTCCATGATTTTAAACAATAAACTTTAGGCTATATATTAATCTTGATAAGCGTCATATTAGGTTTATTGAACATGTATCTAAACCAGATTTTCTGGATCCTGAACAGTGTTATTACACTTTATGTTAAGGTGCTGAACAGTCAAATATTTGCACAGCTGAACAAATATATGAAAACAAGTTTTGCGGAGAATGAGAATATGCCAGTTGAACATGTTCGATGCTTTCAGGTTAGTTTAAAATATAGTTTTTAGGTATACGTATGCAATATTTATTGTTTTGGTTATAAAGTCCAATTATTCAGATTTTTTCACATCGTAATGAATTTTTTAAATGTTGAAATTGACGATTAGTTCTAGAAATCAAATATTCTTTATTTTAAAAATGAGATGCTAAATTTTACAAGAATATGATGTTAGAAATAAGGAAAAATTTAAAGAAAGGTTCATGAATCATGATAATTGACCTCACGTTAACGGTCAATGTCGAAATTATAGATCAATAGTAAAAATACTGATGAAAATCTTAAAATAATAATCTATTTTGTATACAGCCACCGATACACCAAAGCCTCGCCCAATCCCAGTACGGTACACGGGAGACAGCTCAGTACGGTACACGGGAGACTGCACAGTACGGTACAAGGGAGACTGCCCAGTACGGTACAATCAACAGGGACAGGTTAGAATTAAAGTCCTTAGCAAAGTTTATTGTGCTATCCATTTTTAATACTTTTTTTTTAGTTTTTTTTAGTTTGTTTAAACAAGCTGCTGTTCTACCTGTTTGATATGCCCAGTGCCGATTTTTTATTAGAGTTTACGTCAACCGCTATGGTTCTATTTCATGGTGAAAAAAAATAATGTTTTGTCACACAATCTTTAATGTAAAGAAAAAGAAAAAAGGGCGTTCAAGTTTGATTTTGATAATCTATATCGTGATTTTCGGGGGTAGATCTCTTATAAGAGGTATTTTCGACTCTTAAAACTACATATTTTTACCTTAGATTTGATAAATCTTACCGCTATAGTTTTCCCTGTAGTTATGCGTAATTAGCCACCTGGTCATGTTACAGATTGAAAAATAAATATTTAATGATTATCTCTCGACATCATATTGCAAGGAAAATAGTTTAAAGGGATTCAGTTCTAATTTTTGTATTCATATTTTTTTTAACTGATAAATAGTGAAACCAAAAACAATTTTGAAAAATATCACAATATTTTTAATATCAAAGAAGTCTTAGTTCATATATTTAAGAGACAAAGTGATACATGATACATTTATTTAAAAACAGAGTTTAAATGTAAACAACAAACCACAATGATAATGATAATAAAAATAATAATGATACTGATATTGATAATGATAATGATAAAGGATAACCATATGACAATGACAATGGCATTGACAATGACAATGACAATGACAATGACAATTACAATGACAATGACAATGACAATGACAATGACAATGACAATGACAATGATAAAAATACTATTAAAGGTCTGGTGGAGGAAACAGAAGATGAGGAATACCTCTCCCTGGGCTTACATAGGTAAAATCAGTCCTATTTTATTTCTGTTGATGAATTCTCCCTGTTCTGGGCTTAAATAATTTAATGATTAAATCATTGACTGACTTATTTGGTTAATTTATTGATTGATTAATATGTAATAAATCTATGGACGTAAGACAACCCTAGAAGTATGATTTGATTTGATTTGATTTTAGGTAATTCACTTTGGGTTTGAGATGTGGGAAGTATGGCGTCTCTAAAACTCATGATTTGTTTTGACTTGATTAATTGATATGTTTGTTTGATGGTTGGTTGGTTGGTTGGTTGGTTGGTTGGTTGGTTGATCAGCTTGTTGGTTGGTTGGTTGGTTGGTTGGTTGATTAGCTTGTTGGTTGGTTGGTTGGTTGGTTGGTTGGTTGGTTTGTTGGTTTGGTTGATTGATTGAATTTGTCTTTTGATTTGTTGGGTGATTGATTGATGGATTGATGGATTTATTGGGTGATTGATTGATTGATTTGTTTTTTTGATTTTTTGGGTGATGGATTGATGGATTTATCGGGTGATTAATGGATTTATTGGGTGATTGATTGATTGATTGATTTATTACTTAAAGGCTGGGGAGAAGTAAAACTGCTGACAAATACTCACAACGATGAAAAGAAAACGAGGAAGATAGAGAATGGCGTGGAGGGGAGGAGGAGGGGGGATTTATTTGAAATCAAAACTCTTATTTAACTCTAAAAAAAATTTGATAAACCCCACCTTATCATTTAAAAGTTCGCTGAAAAGACTTGAATAAAATATGTCTTTAAAGTTTCTATTGACTTGTAAATTTTCAAAAGATTTTGTGGACATGTATGTATTTTTCTCGTCATTAGACATTGATTAGATCTTTAAAATTTTTATACTGCTATCATATTTCTGTGTCTTCCTTGTAGTTTGAACTAAAATCCTCCTAATTTTATTAGTAATTACATTTATAATTCATTTCTAGTTTTGTAAGTAGTTCGAACCCCAGCTAGCCTGTATGTAAGCTTGAAAATTTTATGGTTTTAACCAAATGATTTGAATAAAAAGGATCGTCAACGTTATATGATTTCAAGTTAGATTTTACCATCACTGATTCATAACAGTTCCCTATATTTCAAGTAAAGAAATCAAACATATGAATCTGTGCATGTGTTCGCGGCTTTTTAGACTCGTGTTTTTTACTTGGACTTTTTCAGCGATAAAACGAGTCTAAAGCCATCGTTGCAAAACTAAATATGTGTGGGTTGCATTTTAGAATCGTTTATGGTACTCTTGGAAAGTACGTTGACAATCCCTTTTAAGCTTTAGCTTGTGTTATTGGTGGTTTCTATCTTCCTTATTGTACTGAAACCCCCTAGGGACAAACTGTGTAAATAATTATAAACATTGAGATATGTTATTTTGCATTTGTATTAAATACAATACTTACTTTGTAGTATTATGTTGTATTGTGTGGCTTGAAATTAATAAAATGTTGACTTGTATGTCTAATTTTTTATTTTTTTATTAAATGGTCTGAATACAGATTGAAGATAAAATCATGCGCTGGACTTAGAATGTGAGAAGGAAGGAGTAGGATAAAGAATATGGGAGTTAAGGATAAGAATGAAGAATGTGAGAAGGAAGGAGTAGGATAAAGAATATGGGAATTAAGGATAAGAATGAAGAATGTGAGAAGGAAGGAGTAGGATAAAGAATATGAGAGTGAAGGATAAGAATAAAGAATATGGGAGTGAAGGGTAAGAAGGCTAAATATTGGAGTGGAGGATAAGAATGGAAAATATGGGAGTGAAGGGTAAGAATGGAGAATATGGGAGTGAAGGGTAAGTATGGAGAATATGGGAGTGGAGGATAAGAAGGAAGGAGAATGGAAGAGAAGTAGATAAAAAGGGCGGTGGTTCCATTTAAACAAGTTCAACCAATCAAACAGGGAAAAAAATTTTACATTTTAAGTTAAATCTTTTAATAAGATGTTTTAAACGTTTCCATCTAAAAAATAATAATATATTTTTACTAAATGAAGATTATTTATCCCTGAACACGGATGAGGTAATACAGCCCTTACTCGGCTTAAGGCAGTAGGCACTGCAGTCTTGAATCGCCATCAATCCAATGCGTCAGAAATATTGCGTATATTGTATACCTTGTGTAAAGTTAGAATTCACAAACTAGTCTCTTGACGCAAATGTTTAAAGTGCTCCAATGTGAATAGCTGTTTTGTGAGTTTTGTGATCAATATTGTTAAAGTTTTAAAAATGCCACAACATAAATCGTATTTATACATCGGTGAAGATATGGATGCTTAAAACCAGTCTTTTGAGTTTTGGGAAAGATGAGATTGTCAAATGTCATCACTTTGTATATACCACAAAGGACGTCGTTGGGGTAGTTAGAAATTTCCGATATCCCTAATATATTCCCTGTATCCCCAATATATTCCCTGTATCTCTAATATATCCTTTGTATTTCTAATATATTCTCTGTATCTAATATATTCCCTGTATCTCTGATATATCCTCTGTATTCTTCATATATGTTCTGTGTATCTCAAATATGTTCTCTGTATCTCTAATATATTCTTTGTATCCCTAAAATATTCCCTGTATTTCTAATATATCCTCTATATTTCTAATAAATTCTCTGTATCTCTAATCTATTCTGTGTATCTTTTATATATTCTCTATATCTCTTTTATTCTCTGTATCTCTTCTATATTCTTTGTAACTCTAATTCATTCCCTATATCTCGAATTTATTCTGTGTATCTCTATTCTATTCTCTATATCTCTTATTTATACTCTATATCTCTTCTTTAATCTCTGTATCCCTAATCTATTCTCTGTATATGTTATGTATTCTCTGTATCTTTAATATATTCTCTGTATCTCTAAAATATTCTCTGTATCTCTAATATATTTCCTGTATCTCTAATACATTCTCAGTACCTCTAATGAACCTCTGTATCTCTTATAAACTCTATATATCTGTATTTCTAATATGTTCTTTGTATCTCTAATATGTTCTCTGTATCTCTAATATGTTCTCTATATCTCTAATATGTTCTCTGTATCTCTAATATATTATCTGTATCTCTAATATATCCTCTCACTGTGATCTTGCCAGGCTACATTTGTTGTATTGAACGTTCTAGGTTGACTCTACACTTGGTATTCCAGACTGGACAGTGTGAGTAAAAACATATACAGTACATATTGTACCAACCCCTCTTTACAATACATAAAGATGATAAAGACAAGTTTTAATATGATAAACACAAAAAGAAAATTGAGGGCCTTGAATAAGAGTAAAAAAGCATAGAAATAAATGAAAAATATTGGGTTATCATTTTTCCTATATTTAGAATCTCCCTGAACCATCTCATATTTTACATATATCATGTAAATTATAAAGTTTATATAAAGAATATTCAAGCTTGACGTAAACCATATTCTCCGGACGGATATATGCGAGGATCTTGATCCATCTCTGACGTCATCATTTCGTCATGTATACGTAGTAAACCGCATATTTGAAGTAAAAAAGCAGGATATCCTGATAAATCTGATACATGACTACTGACTAGGGTTCTCAACGGGATATTGATGTTGCTGTGGAAAACGAATTTTTGTAAGGGCCGGCCGGGGGTTGGGTGGATAATAGATATACATTAGAATATAAATTGTAAGATTTTTAAGATTGATTGAACTCATTAAATATATTTAAAGGAGCGAACTTACTTTATGACTGGATAATTTCATCCATCCATTCTAAAGTTGAAGATTTTTGATAGATTTTGAGAGAAAGGGAATAAATAAGCAGTTACCAAATTAACTAAAATTATCACAATCAGATAAAAATCAAGTGAAGGAGAAGAATCAAGAATATGAGAAATAAGGAGTAGGATCAAGAATGTGAGAAGGAATGAGTAGAATAAAGAATATGGGAGTAAAGGATAAGAATGAAGAATGTGAAAAGGTTTAAAGGAATGAGTAGGATTAAGAGTATTGGAATGAAGAATGTGAGAAGGAAGGAGTAGGATTAAGAACATGGTAGTGAAGGATAAGAATTAAGAATGTGAGAAGATTAGGTAGGATAAAGAATGTAGTAGTGAAGGATGAGAATGAAGAATGTGAGAAGGAAGGAGTAGGATAAAGAATATGGGAGTTAAGGATAAGAATGAAGAATGTGAGAAGGAAGGAGTAGGATAAAGAANTAATGTATCCATATATATCACTATAAAATCAATATCTCTAATGTATCCATATATATCACTATAAAATCAATATCTCTAATGTATCCATATATATCACTATAAAATCAATATCTCTAATGTATCCATATATATCACTATAAAATCAATATCTCTAATGTATCCATATATATCACTATAAAATCAATATCTCTAATGTATCCATATATATCACTATAAAATCAATATCTCTAATGTATCCATATATATCACTATAAAATCAATATCTCTAATGTATCCATATATATCACTATAAAATCAATATCTCTAATGTATCCATATATATCACTATAAAATCAATATCTCTAATGTATCCATATATATCACTATAAAATCAATATCTCTAATGTATCCATATATATCACTATAAAATCAATATCTCTAATGTATCCATATATATCACTATAAAATCAATATCTCTAATGTATCCATATATATCACTATAAAATCAATATCTCTAATGTATCCATATATATCACTATAAAATCAATATCTCTAATGTATCCATATATATCACTATAAAATCAATATCTCTAATGTATCCATATATATCACTATAAAATCAATATCTCTAATGTATCCATATATATCACTATAAAATCAATATCTCTAATGTATCCATATATATCACTATAAAATCTAGAATCTAGTGAAACAAAGAATATTGTTAGGGCTATGGTTTATAATTGTACAGGATGGAAAGGGAATAAAAACGGGAATGCATGGGGAATGAAAAAAAGAATTTGCAAAGAAATTAGACAATAAAGAATAGAAAAATGTCTTTATTAATGAAAAAAGAAGTAAATAATTAGAAATAAATTTAATAGTAAATTAAAGTAAGAAAGAAATAAAGAATAAAAGAAAGAAAGACAGAAGGTAGAGATAATAAAGAAAGGGAGGAAGTATTAAAGGATAATAGTATAATTTTTGCAATAATTATGCACATTGAAGCATGTGCTAATTATGTAAATCTGTATTTAATGTACAACCTTATAAGTATATTTTATACATGAAATAGGGTGTACTCAATTCAGTTTACAGAAAATACGCGTATCTAATAATTTTAAAAGTGTAGGTATATACATATATATATCAAAAGTGTACCTTGCATATGACTATTTACCATTTTGCATTTATACAAATGTGTATAGTATATTAAATCTTTAATAATAGAGAATATGCAGTAAAGCCTAGTTTACAATGAACAGTTTAAAGTTTAAACAATCCAAATTTGGGTTTTGCGTATTTGGTATGGTGTATAAATATATTGTAATATATCTTGGTTTATGTAAATTTATCTTGTTAACTCTCTGTATGAACAGTAATAGATTCAAACAGTTAAATTTTATCAGGATTGGAATATATATATATTTGCTTTGTGTTTTATATTGAAATAATCAAATCTTTATTATGTATTATGACTGTATATTTACAACTATTTAAAGAAGAATTTTAAGTGGTATATAGCTAACTAGCTTGGGAACCCAGCTTTTCTTGTAATTCTAAACTATCCCTATAGGAGTCAACTGAACTCAACTGAAAATATTCAAACCAAGCTAAATCATTCCCGTGCACTTTAAGGTGATTCGGTCAAGGGGTTCCTGAGTTATGATCTGACATACAAATAATTAATATACGTCAACCATATTTATATTTTATATATTTTGATTATATGTTTATTATCAATCTTTTTTATTATATTAGCAGTTTATTATCGATACTTATGCAAAACACACATAGATCCAGACTGCTATGAAAAGATACATCAAGACTGGGTGGATTTTAAAGTGTCGGAACGCTTTTGTTTTTACCTCACTAACTTACTTCTACTTGTTTTAGCCCTGGACATTCACATTTTATAGAACTTAAACTACTTAATATGTAAAATTCTCATTGATTTTTCCTGGAGAACTTGCAATCATTTGTATCACTGTGAATACACAGCAAACATAACGCTTGAATGTTTGCCAACACTAAGATTGTTTTCATCTATCTATCAATCTATACTTCTCGTGCTGATTCCTCTATTCTCTGTAATTTCTGTAAATGTCAGATGTAAATTGAGGTCAAGTGTTCAATGTTCCCCTGCACTTACAATTTAACAAACAAACAAACCGAGAAAAAGAAGTTTTGACAAATTATGGTTTAAGAAAGAACCAAAGCTTTTGTAAATATCGCAATAATCAAATATTACATACAAGTAAAATCCCGGTCTACTACAAAGTATAAAATGTGTACCAAATAAAACTGTCTGACAGTACAAAAAAAAGCTAAAATAAAAGAAACTGCAATGTAAACAAAACAAAAAACAAACAGGATAATTTCAACACTTTATTCTTTCAAAACTAACTCTTTGCTAAATACAGGGTGCCCTAATTAATGTTGGATATTTACGATATTAAAACAATCTGCGATCTCCGACAGGCAATGCATGACTAAGGTTATATCAAAAATGTTATACATCACACAAGCTTTCAAAAATTATGTGGGTAACCTCTTTTATAACAGCAGATAATTGGATAATTTGATTTTTGTGAAATAAACTTGATTCTGGACAAAAGAATTAAGTCTTTGGCACGAGCTCAAATTTTACAATCCCTATATCTTTGCAACCTGATGGTGTACAACTTTCATATTTCAAACTTAGATAATTTGATCTAAGAGAATTCATACTTTGAAATATCAAAGCTATATAACAAAAATATAGGAATTATAAAATATAGCAAAGACTTAATTCCTATCCTATGATCTGCGTAAATTTCAATATCAAAAATGACACACCCCGTTTTGAAAATCTTTTAATATCAGCTTACATAAGTGGATTTCTACTTAAACTTTGTTAACGGGAAAATGCCGCGTGAATAAAAACAGAAAAGTCGTATAAAGTCGAGTGTTTATTATGGGACACCCAGTAATAAAGACATTTGTAACTATAGTAATAATAGTTTTCAAGATTTTAAAATAATGCGTCATATCCCAACATTGTTTTTAAGAGCACTTTGGCCGTGATAGCCTGAGTAGAATAAACATATTTATACAAATTATTTAAACTTTATTTCGTATTAATATATATAAGCAGGTATGTTGTATAATCAAGATTTAACTAACAAAGAAACACATGTTAATTTGTGAAACAATAAATGTATTGTTTTTATACCCCTCGGGATACAGGGGTGAAAGGATACAGGGATACAGGGGTGAAGGGATACAGGGGTGAAAGGATACAGGTATACAGGGGTGAAGGGATACAGGGGTGAAAGGATACAGGGATACAGGGGTGAAAAGATACAGGGATACACGGGTGAAAGGATACAGGGATACAGGGGTGAAAGGATACAGGGATACAGGGGTGAAAGGATACAGGGGTGAAGGGATACAGGGATACAGGGATACAGGGGTGAAGGGATACTAGGATACATAATATACAGTGATAAATGATACGTGGTTATAACTAAAAAGGATCGAATACAGTGCCGCGGATACATTCAATGATACAATGATGAAGACATACAAGGGGGGGGGGTAAAAAAGGGATGGCGGAAGGTAAAAAGAAAAAGGGCGGTTCGGGTGAAATTTGGATTTTCTAAAGTTAGAAATGTTTATAATGATCAGTTGGAGATGGGGGTAAGGATAGGTGACATATAAGTGAAATGGGGGAAGGGGAGGGTGTACAAGAGAACAATTATCAGTGACCTAAAGGGGCAATTTCCATAACAAAAAGGGGGGTAACAACAATCAGTACAAGGGGGGAGGGGACAATGAAGTTTTTAATGAAGGATTTTCACAATAATTTGACAACAATAGATAATCTAGGCAATCAAGATACGTATTCAGTCTGACACATTATATTCAAACCATTTCAGGGTTTAAACTATACTCTGTACTCAGCACACGCCCCTCATATATATACTCATATACTCATACATATACCTGTACCAACCCAGGCATTTTACAATTTATTCTTCTTTTTAGAACCATACTTTCTAGAAGCATACTTTCTAGAACCATACTTCTAGAACCATACTTCTAGAACCATACTTTCTAGAACCATACTTTCTAGAACCATACATTCTAGAACCATACTTTCTAGAACCATACTTTCTAGAACCATACATTCTAGAACCATACTTCTAGAACTATACTTTCTAGACCCATACTTTCTAGAACCACACTCTCTAGAACCACACTCTCTATTTCTAACATTCAACAAGAACTTTTATATTTTGATATCTTCAGATTAAAAACCTGACTTTTCCTGTAACTTATCCCCCTCCCCCACTGCTCTTCTGAAGATTATGGATTGGTCGTCCATATTAGGATTTCTTTTATTATTTTTTCAACCTGTCCAGGTCCTTCTGAGGTGGAAAAGTATACACTACTAGTTTACAGTTTTATGTTTTTTTAGTGGTTCAGGCTTAGTAGGTTCAGGCTTAGTAGGTTCAGGCTTAACTGGTTCAGGCTTAGTAGGTTCAGGCTTAGTAGTAGGTTCAGGCTTGGTAGTAGGTTCAGGCTTAGTAGGTTCAGGCTTAGTAGGTTCAGGCTTAGTTGGTTCAGGCTTAGTAGGTCCAGGCTTAGTTGGTTCAGGCTTAGTAGGTTCAGGCTTAGTAGGTTCAGGCTTAGTAGGTTCAGGCTTAGTAGGTTCAGGCTTAGTAGGTTCAGGCTTAGTAGGTTCATGCTTAGTAGGTTCAGGCTTAGTAGGTTCAGGCTTAGTAGGTTCATGCTTAGTAGGTTCAGGCTTAGCAGGTTCAAAAGAATTGTACATTGTAAACATTTGTGTAATTTTAAACTAATTTTATTCCCTTTTGATTTCCATATAACATGGCCGACGCTTATACATTATTTTTAAACAGCGGAACTGATTACTCGCATCAAACTAAAAATTTTGGTCAGGTTGGTCCAAACCACAATTAACGTTGACTGTAGATGTCAAATTCACATTTTTTAAAAATATATTTCGATCCTGGTTTTCATTCTTTTTGTATCCTCATGTGGACCTTTGATATTTCAAACATGAATTCTGCTAAATCAAATGGTTTAAAATATCGAAGGTTTTCAAATTCTGGTTGCAAAGATGTATGATTAGAAGATTTGAGTTTCTTTTCTTATTGAATCTTTCCCAGAATTATAGAGATTATTTTTGTTTGGGTTTGATTAATTGGAAATATCTTAAGTTTAGCGAATAGGTTTCAATTATATTTTAATATCTCAAGTTTGATAATGAATAGGTTTTAATTAGTGAAATAATGAATAGGTTTCAAATATTTGTAATGTCTCAAGTTAGAAAATGATTAGTTTGAAATATTCCAAGTTAGAAAATGATTAGTTTGAAATATTTCAAGTTAGAAAATGATTAGTTTGAAATATTTCAAGTTAGAAAATGATTAGTTTGAAATATTTCAAGTTAGGAAATGATTAGTTTGAAATATTTCAAGTTAGAAAATGATTAGTTTGAAATATTTCAAGTTAGTAAATGATTAGTTTGAAATATCTCAAGTTTGAAAATGATCAGTTTGAAATATCTCAAGTTTGAAAATGATCAGTTTGAAATATCTCGATTTTGAAAATTAATGCAGGGTGAGTCAAAAAAAAGTGTGATTAGCGGCGTCTGGTGCAAAGTTGTACTTTTTTGTGCAAATCTCCTGTATGGTGTTTTTACAATATTTTTTGGAAGCTTCTTTTTGATACTCCTAGGGCCAAAAAAAAATCCGCGAACCTTTTTTTCTCTCAAAATCAGAAGTTCAGAAAAGCAATAATGTGTATGTATATATTATTTCTATCAAATTAAAAATTTTTATAAAGATTGAATAACAGAATCACAGAAAATTTGCAAAATTGTAATAAGAAAATTCGCAATTTTCAGTTCTGGTCTAATTTTTAAGGACAAAATCCACTAGTTCCTTTCTTCTTAGTTTATTCTAAAGTTATAAATATACGCTGTTTAGTTGAAACCTAAAGAGCCAATGAAGAACAACTTTTCTTTAAAAATTAGACTGGAACTGAAAATTCAATTAACTTGAAATATCTAAAGTTTAAAAATGAATAAATTTGGAATAGTTTGAAATATTTCAAGTCTGAAAATGAATAGGTTTGGATTAGTTTGAAATATCTAAAGTCTGTTGATGAATAGGTTTGGATTAGTTTATAATATCTCAAGTCTGATAATGAATAGGTTTGGATTAGTTTGAAATATCTCAAGTCTGATGATGAATAGGTTTGGATTAGTTTAAAATATCTCAAGTCTGATAATGAATAGGTTTGGATTAGTTTGAAATATCTCAAGTCTGATAATGAATAGGTTTGGATTAGTTTAAAATATCTCAAGTCTGATAATGAATAGGTTTGGATTAGTTTAAAATATCTCAAGTCTGATATAATGAAGAGGTTTGGATTAGTTTGAAATATCTCAAGTCTGTTGAGAAATCATGATTAAACACTTTAAGGTTAAAAGCAAACTCTTAGAAGGAGGTGACACTTAGATACAAGGAGAAAACAAACACGACAATAGAGCAGACACACAGGCAAGTAGACAGACACACAGATACACAGACAGGCAAGTAGACAGACACACAGATACACAGACAGGCAAGTGGACAGACACACAGATACACAGACAGGTGGACAGACACACAGATACACAGATAGACAATAGATACAGATACACAGACAAGGGAGAAAATACACAGACAAGGGAGCAGATACATAGACAAGGGAGTAGATACAAAGACAAGGGAGCAGATACACAGACAAGGGATCAAATACAGAGTCAAAGGAGCAGATACACAGACTAGGGAGCAGATACATAGACAAGGGAGTAAATACACAGACAAGGGAGCAAATACACAGACAAGGGAGCAGATACAAAGACAAAGGAGCAGATACACAGACAAGAGAGCAGATACAAAGACAAGGGAGCAGATACAGAGACAAGGGAGAAGATACAAAGACAAGGGAGCAGATACATAGACAAAGGAACAGATACAGTGACAAGGGAGCAGATACATAGACAAAGGAGCAGATACATAGACCAGGGAGCATATACAGAGACAAGGGATAAAATACACAGACAAGGGAGCAGATACAATAAACAATAGACTGCAAAGTTAAGAAAACAACTGCATTTCTTGGCAGATAATATAAAGACTATGGATAACCAGATATTTAGGAAGATATCATTATTTTCACCTAAATTCACTTAGCTCACAGATTTTTAAGAAATATTCTATTATTTGCACTTTTACATAATGATAAATGGCTTAAAAATAATGCATTTTTTATTCAGCATATTAAATCTTCAAGTAACATAGCGCGATTATCTTCGATTCCTAAATTTGATATCTACAATTCGGAGTAATTAAATTAAAAGAGATGAAATATTTAATCCGTTAAAAACAGCTGACTTGTATTTCTGCCATCTTTTATCGACCTTGTGGTCTCCAGAATTCCGACTTCTACATTAAAAATGGCACAGAATCAAATTAAAAATATATAAGCGTCATTTCTAAACTTGCAGACCATTATGCACACTTTCGCTAGAAAAAGCGTGCGCGAAACCCAACATTTTTGCACGTGCACAAGTTACTCTTCCCCCCACTCTCATATGTATATACACTGTACAAGGACATGAAAGAAAATATATTATATATAATCGTGCAGCGGGATTATATTGTCTATTTCTCAATATACACAATCTGTCACTTTATCTATATAGGTCTCATCCTGCTTATATATCTATCTCTTCTATCTATTATTGTGTAGATCTATATTTATATTTGGTTAGGTTATATATCAAGTATGTTTTCATATATATCCATTCTGTTTAAATATTGTTCATACATAATGGTAGGGATAAGTTAAAAGAACTATTATTATAGAAAGCAGGAGTGAACTTTTTAGGGCCAAATCCCCCTAAATCATGGTTTTCACTCGTCCGGATGGAGGGGGGGCTCAGCCACAATAACCCCCCCCCCCTCTGTATACGCCTCTGATAAAAAGTTCACAAAACAAACTGGAAAGGAAGACGATTTTTAGTTCAATTTAGTTTCAGTAGTTTAACAAACATGGTAAACATCATTTTATATTTTATACTCATATTTTCATTTATTTTTTTTATTAACTCTATCAAAATTAGAATATGATATAGAAAGATATGTAAAAGGGGGAATGGGTGAACAGAAGGGATGAAAAACAAATATTAAGGATGAATGAATGAATGAATTGATGATTTATCAAAGATAAAAAGGTTAATACATGAAAATGATTAAGGTTAACATTGATTAGATGGGTTTAGAAATCTGGGCCCACCAGACAGCTATACACAAGCTTTCATTAAATATAGATTAGAGTAGATAGATAGATAGATTGCAAGCATTTGACAGAGAAGATAGAAGGATACAAAAATTAGATACATATATAGACATTCAGATAAATAGAAAAAGAAATAGAAAAATAGATGTAGGTAACATGCACCATTTAAATACTATTCTACGATACTCTGGTATGAAACGTTTAAGTCTCTAAACGCACAAAGAAAAACCTACCCGCCACTGTTTGTAATGATATGTGACAGAGCATTCTTTAAATATTTTGAAATATATCTAAAATTTTAAAGCTTAATGTTCTGGACAGAATCATGACAAAATAATTATTCTGACCTATAGTCTCACCTGTCAACAACTTTGTCTAAACCTGAAATAGTTTCTTTTCTTCAAGAAAATAAACCAACTTTAATCATTCATCTGATTCTTTATTTGACACACATAAGGAATGATTTAAGACAACATTTTGTGAAAAACCTCATTTTGAATTCTTGCTGAATTTATTGAATTCTGAACAATTAAGTTTAAGTTTAAAACAAATTTGGCAGAATGGAAGTGTTATTATCTATTATGTTTAACCAGTGCAAAACTACAAAAACCCCATATATATACGATATATATATATATATATATATATAAATATATATGTATATTTGTAACTATTTACATATATATACATATATATTATATATGTAAATCCCAGGTTCCTTGTATCAAATTAAGGACAATAACTGTTGACGGGGAACATAAATGGTAGAAAAAACCGTGATTTTTGTTTAAATTGGCGCGGCGATTCAAAATGTACACGCTCTCATGCAAAACCTATAAGCAATTTGCCAATTACTTCTTCTAATATGAAAATATAACAATCTTTTTAGTTCTAAAATGTACATGTCTATAGCTACAAAGATATATAAATCAGTCGGTGAGGTAAAAGCAACGACTCGTGCGTTGTGATACTTCAAAATTGGTCTAGTCTTGAAAGTTTTTAAGCTGTCTGAATCTCTGTGCGTGTAATAAATCGATTTGCGGACTTCTGACGAACAGAAAACATACAGACAGAAAGTGGGGGTTTTCTAAATTAAGATTTTGAACTTTGACATGACATCGCTTAGAGGTCTTATTATATAAATTGAGAACTGACACACACACACATGAACACAAACACACTAACATATGTAAACAAAGAAAACACAATCAGTTATATAAACATTGCATAATTAACCCTCTAGTAAAAAGCGTATTAAAGGGATTGTTCATAAATCAGAAAGTGCGTGCAAAATATTTAATGAGAAGCCATATCAATATCTAAAAAAAGGTTCACGACCAAAGTTTCAGTAAAGAATTATCAACCTTATTCAAAGCATTGGTCTTAACTCTTAGCTGTTTAATTTTTTTGATGTTGTAAAATACTCTTAAAATGTTTTTTTTAAACGAAATATTTTTATTAAAATCTTAAAATGTTTAAACATTCATAATTGCCTATCAAATTTATCAAATATGTGATTTGTCATATTTTGAGTACGTATTTGGACATATTTTCTAATATATTTTTACAAGAATTTCTACAAATGCAATTTTTTCACAAATTCTTGAAAAAGAAGCCATCAAGAGGTCTCCAATAATAAGTAAATTCTGTAAATATATATTAAAATAGTAGGGTAAAGGGGGGGGGAGAGGTCCTAACATTCTGAGCTTAGGAGAGGTCCGTAGGAATACAGTTAAATTATTTTGCAAAACGGGCCTAAATGCCACCCACCTAAACTAATTATATAAAATGTATCTACCTACATACAACTACCAAGAATAACAACGTTCACAGCAATCAAGCGATATTATTGCTTCGCGGTCCGAGATGTTTTAAAAAAGTTGAGATATTATTTGAAAACTTTAAGATATGTGAGAAAGTCCTAAAATATTAAGTATTTAATTTCTGAAATTCTAATTTCAACCAAAACTCAGTGATTTTAACAAAAACTGAAATCCTCGAGATATTAACTAAAACTTTAAAATATCAGCAAAATAACCTGGAAAATCAGATAAAACTTTAAAATATTAAGTAATATTTCTTGAATTTTAATACTTTTAAACTAATTAATTTCTTGGTTATTTCATTATACATACAAAGTCTCTACTGCTCATCTTCTCATTAATATATTTTTGTATTCAAATCATCTATTAATTATAAATTTTTACAAGGGAAGAACTAGTGAATAATAATAGATCCCTAGGTAGTTTAATATTTATAAACCTTTACGTTAGAACGTTAGGACGTAAAATAACCTTCACTGAAACAAATTTTGCAAACAGTCCCTTTAGAGATAGCTGGAATCCAAGCTACACCTACTTTTATTTATGTAAATATATCTGCTTTGCTATCTATCTACATACATATTTTAATATATCTATCTATCTATTCCAGTTTATCTAAACCATGCTCTCAAGGTTAAGCCTTTCTAGAACCCTTAGAGTTTGCATCTATCTATCTATCTATCTATCTAATATTAACTGCACAATTGCTGTTTTTTATGTTCTTTGGACTATTTATAGAAATAAGTCTAGAGGTCGTCTTGATATTCCACAGTTTAATTGGCCTATCTGTATATATTTAACGTTCTATCTAAATATTTTTTATACAAAACGGAACAATTTTTATTCAATTTGTTAGATTTTTTCGTACCTTTATTGTATAATGTATAATATTTAATTTGTAATGATGAAAGCTCACCCTTCGAGGGGTATCATAATATGATTTAATGTCTTCCGTTTAATCAATCATATCAATTCTTTTGTTAAATATTTAAAACAATAGTTTAAAACCGTTGAAGCTCATTGGTCATTAGTTTTAAATATGGATTCTTTACAGTACAATACAAACTAAATATTAGGGAATACAGTACTAAATAGATAGTTTAAAAGTATATATAAAGGGGTATAATTAATAAATATATTATATTAACCACCAGAAGAACAAGTGCTGTGGTTCGGAATTTAACACTTAAATTCTCACGATATACAAATCCACAAAAAGTTTAGATTTATTATCAGTTAAAGCTCCTTGCCTTGATGAAAATTTGGGGATTTTCCAATAAAAAGTTGAAATAATTTGGGTTTCTTTTATCTAGAAAGAGGTTTGTCTCCTCATGGTACTCCATTACTATGATTTCTTGCCAGACTCCTGTTTTGTTTATCCATTTGCTATAAACAAATGATATCTAGGAATCTCAAGGTATCTGAATCTCTAAAACTATAAACCTTTAAAAATGTTTCTAAAATTTAGATTTAAATATTGAGTATTTTCAGAAAAATGGCGAAGTAAATGAGAAAATGTAAAAATGAAATTTCATCCTCATGGCTACTCTCCGCCTCCCAATAGGTGAGACAGGAAGGGGGGTTCCGGGGGGTACGGGTATTGGCGGGTACAGGGTGCTGTACTAATATTTTATGGATTAAGAAAAAC